AAAAAAAAACACTCATATGAAATGACCTTTTGTTTCTTAAATCATCATCTTATTTCCTTCCTGCCCTCTCCAGTTCTCCTCTAAAACATGCTAATGAAATTATTTAGAACAGGCGTCCCAAAAATACACGTCTCCTGGCCAACAAAAGAGACAAACGGCGAATAAGCTTCTTTTAAGGCAGCCAAACTGTAAACAGCATGTTTAATGTGCTCCATTTAAAACTGGTGGACAATTAATTTTTTTAGTAAATAATGGTATTTTCATTGAGTGAACTAGTGAATCTATGAATTTTTTACTTCTCTGCAGCATGTACAAGTGATAACCGGTAAAAATGCTTGAAACTCTTAAGATTTTTTGAAACACCCAACTATTTTTTATACAACCATAACACAGAAAAACAAACACATATTGCATCCATAAACTTCAAATAAAACCGGAATTAAACCACTAATTGTTTTCAAGAAGAAAATAGTCATTGGTTATTCATAAAAAACATTTCAAATCATTCCTACTTCCCCTTTTCTGCTAAGGCAAAAAAAATCCTGTTCTTAAAAAAAGATAGTTGTTGGTGAAATTGTAAATAAAGATATGCTGACTATTTTTGACTGTATTAGTAACCGTGTCATGATTAATGGTCAGAATTTCTTTTGATGAGCTAATTTTGCCATATGACACTAAATTATTTGGTTTAGTGATAAATTCCTAGTAACGAATCCTAAATGGTTATACTGTTTTAAACACTCAATCCACACATTTGCCGAAAACTAAGTATTGAGTCACAACAATATACTATTGTCCATTTTCAGCCAAAAGCACGCAGTCTTTTGACTGTCGCTCTTCCCCTAACAGTTTGATGAAGCCTATTTATGTTACATCCCCTGCATTCCTAAAAAACTTGTTGCCTTTTACAAAATTTTGCCTTTTTTTGAAATTTTTTCTGAGCAACCTGCACCAATTCGTGAAAATAAGATAATGTTATAAATTTCTGAGCAATCAAAAAAAAAAAGTGAAAAGAAAGATATAATTAGGCGATAAGCTCCACGCAAGAGAAGACGATAAGAATACACTTGGAAAAAAAAATGAAAACTTGAAGTGACATAAGTGTAAGATAGAATTTATAAACAGTAATGGTAAAACGTTTTAAAATTTCGTTACAGAAATCCTCTTTCTTCTTTGCCATCAGAAAAAAAATCTTTTTTGGTTGTGGAAAAGAGTTAAACTTTGGAAATAAACTAAATTTTTAACCCCACAGAAATTGCGCTACCAATGACTTCAACCTATAAGTGTCTTGTTTAAATTATTGTTCCAGAAACTTGTATGCAAATAATTTTTGTTTTGATAACTTCAATGAAATAAAAAAAGCAATGCAGTAAAAGAAAAAATGTGAAGCTGACCCTCAAAATCCGAATCACCGGAAGGATTAAAGAACAGTGTAACCTGTATCAAAATTAAAAACATTTCAAAGTAAAAAATTCTTAATAAAGAACTCTTTACTCTCTCCTACCTCCTAATTCACTTTTCCTCCGATAACCCTGTAAGAACATAAAAAGCTGAGTGAAACTGAATGAAACTGAACTGAATGAATGAAACCCCAAGTGAAACTGAGCTAGACTGAGATGAGCCAGAATGACATTATTACACCCAAAAAATGTTTTTTTTTTTCAAAATCTGATTTCCTTCTCCTTCCAGCAAAAACGGCACCGCCTGTTGTTTCCAGCAATTTGCTGTTTCAGAAAAAAAATGCATTCTCATTACCTTACATTTAGACTATCCAAAAGACTTTTTCTTCACTAAGTTTCGCACAAGCTGCAATAAGACCAAATCATTTTGGTGCATTTTTTCTTGACTGATGGCTACTAACCAGCTCAAAATTAGACGTAATTTATTCAATCAGCCAATTGGTTAGGCAGACTTAATTCAGCGTGCGTAGCTGCCAAATCCAAACAACCAGCTTATCAAAGCTGAGATCTAATTGCAAATTAAAATA